TGCGTGGTCAGGCTGTAGTCCGAGTTCGAACTTGTCTGTTTCTGTCTTTCTCTTTTACCTGTTAAATTTGCTCTTCTCTAACCTTTGTCTTTTCTCTAATAAACTTACTCTTAGCTTTTACAGGTTTGTGGTCAGTGGTTCTTGTTGGGCACGACTCCGTAACAATACTAAATAAATTCACTTCACTGCCCCGGGTTGCAGACAGAAATGCTGGGGTTTTTTGTTTTTGTTTTTTTTGTTTTTTCATGTATAACAGTAGGTAGTAAGTATCTTTGACTAACAGAAAGGAACATGTTTCCTCCCACAGAAACAGCCACCGAAGGTCTTTCTGGAGTTGGTGTCCCAAGAGGTGGACTGAGATGTTTCACCCAAAGCAGGATGACAGATTCAGGTGGGGTTGCCAGATTGAGCCAATATATACAGGACACCCAGTGAGATTTTAATTTCAGAGACACAGCAAATACTTAATGTATCCTACCACCCTTGTTTTCATTGTCTATCTGAAATTCGCCTGTCACTAAATTTTATCAGGCAACTCTCCACCGGAGGCGGGCTCTGGTGTAAGAGAGTGGGAGGAAGAAATAGGAAGGGGAAGAGAAACCGGTAAACAAAGCCCCTCCGGCCCAGAGCTAACCCTCACTTGGCTTCCAGGCTTCTCCTGAAACTTGATGCCGCTGCTGGGCTGAACCGTCCCAACCGACGTCTCCTATCACCACGCTACAGCGTCGCCACGCCACTGCGCATGCGTCCTCCGAACGACCACTCACGAGCGCCCGTCGCCAGCAGCGCCGCCGGTCGCTAGGGAACGAGCCGGGTCGCTAGGGAACCAGCCCACGAGCGCACGCGCGCGTCGCTGCCTGCGCCACAGGGAGGAAAGGCTCCGTGGTAGGGGCGCGAGCGCATGTGCGAGGGGGCGCGCGCGTTGAGTGCCCCCCTGAGGGCCAGGAGGAGAACCTGAGGGGTGCACGCGTAGGTGAGCCCGGAACTCTCCCGAGGGAGCAAGGAAACGCACCTTGAAGAGGTGGAGGTGCGCGCATGCGCCCTCGGGGTGGGGCAGGGGGGTGGGGGGGTGCCTGAGGGCTGCGATGTAGAAGCTTTGAGGAACCGGAAGTGCAGCAGCGGAGCCGAGGCAAGGTCATTGGGAGAGGTGGAGGGGTCATGTGGTCCAAGAGGAACTGGCAAGGGCTGCCTGTTTAGAACAGGTGCTTTCTCAGGTAGGGTTTGCTTCATCCGTGCAGGAAGCCAGTGCCTGGCAGGACGAGCAGAAAGGCTTCCTGAGCACGCAGGGTGGATGATGGTTGCCACCCTCTGGAAAGGCGCTCAAGAGCTTGCCTGTGCATCCCCAGAGAATCTTGCTAAAACGCAGCTTCTGGATTCGTGTCTGGAGTGGTACCAGGGAATCAGCATTTCAACCCCACCCCATCCCATTGGTACCAAGCTGCTAATTCTTGGACGACACGCTGAGTAAAAGGAATGTAGTCTAAATCCACCGTGAATTTTAAAAGGCTAACCAAGATGTCGGTTGGGTGGGTCCTTCTAGATTTTAAGGGTAAATCCATTTCCTTGCCTGCGCCGCTTTCCAGTGACAGCCCACCTCCCCGAACTCTTTGCCCTGTATTACATATGTGATACATATGCTAGCACCACCACCTTCCCTGCATCCCTGCCTGATGTCACTGTCCTTGCCCATGTGAAGACCCTTGTAATTACATTGGGCTCACCCACCAAATGTAGGATAATCTCATTTTAAAATGTTTCATTGTCCCCTGCAAAGTCCCTTTGCCATGTAAGAGAATATATGCACAGACTCCAGAGATCAGGACGTGGATATCTTTGGGAGATCATTATCCAGCCTGCCACAATATTTAATTTCCTAAGGGAAAAATATTTCATTGATATATTTCAATGGTCAAAAACAGGAGTCTTAACCTTGATACAATCCATATTCAAATTAACCCAATTTTCCCACCCAAAGAGTCCTTTTTTTTTCTTTTCTGATCCAAATCCAATTCAATATCTTGTGGTACATGTTGCTAACATGCTTTTCTAATCTTTAATCTGGACTGGCTACTCATCTGTGTTTCTTTCATGGCCTTGATGGTTTGAAGTATGCAGACCAGTTGTAGACTGTCTCTTTGGTTTTGACATTTCCTTGATTTTATTTTGGATGGCCTTCACAGAAGTGAATGATGTTCTGTGTATCACACCAGAAATGTGTCTGTTAGTGAACTCCCCTTTGATCACTTGGTTCCATTATTTTGGCCAGGTTTCTCCACTGTATTGTTTCTGTATTTTCCTTGGGAATTAATACTACTTTGTGGGGAACTTTTAGACTATACACATAAACCATTTCTTGTAAAATATTCACCAAGTTTTAACCCTCATTGTTGAATCTGGCTAGATCCAGTTATCCTAGTATTGTTACATCGTGTCCATTTTTAAACTCCAGTGTCTGTCCATGTGTCATTCTGCTTTAAAGAGGGACTTTCTCTTCTACTCACTCATTTATTTATTCAATCTCATGTGGACTCATGGATTCTTACCCTACTCAATGAGTTATTATCTATTACAGTCAATATTTATTTTAATGGCCAAACTTCCCCAGATTTGGTAGTAAAAGCTACCAAGTCTTCTTCTGATTTTTAGAATTGTTTTCTTTCTTTCTGGCACAACAGAATGATCCCGGTTCATTGAATTTTCCCTCCCTCTGTTTTGGAATCAGCCATTTCTCTAAGGATTTCCACTTAAGTGGGGAAACCTACTTAAAAATAAGACCTGGATACTATGTATTCTGCTTCTAGGCCCTTGAAGTAGTGTTGGGGAATACACACACACACACACACACACACATTCTTCATTAATGTGAAGAAGAGAAAAGCCCCAAAAAATCATATTCGGTAAATGTGAGAACTGGATCTGCACCTTTTAAAAAAAATTTAATTAGAATATGTCACTTGAGGAAGATACTGTTGATCAGGATCTTGTCACAATCTTCCACTGTACATACTTCTGCTGTTTATTACATGCCAGTTGAAGTCCCTGGGCAATGCAGTTAGTATACTCAGCTGCTAACAAAAAGTCTACCCAGAGGTACCTCAAGTAAGACTGGTGATGTAGTCCCCTGAAACATCAGCCACTGAAAACCCCATGGTGCATAAGTCTCCTCTTAACTCTGGGCCATTGTGATTCTGAGTCAACTGCATAGCATCTGGTCACCGTGCAAAGTGTCTTGCATATATTATCTCTTAGGATCCTCACAAAGTTCAAGGTTATTTTGTTATGTTTCTGAAGCTCAGAAACTGAGTGATTTGCTGAAGATCACACAAGAACCAGGGCTGGAATTTGATCGTCAGTTCCCGCAGTCTGGGTTCATATTTATTGCCCTACACTGCCATTTAGATGTATCGTGTGGCTCAGACTACATTGCTTCCAGCTCTTGAAATCTGATTAGTAATAAGCCAAGAGCCATCAACTCAGCAGTAAGCAGCTTCTTGTTTGAAGTCTGCATTAAGTCTAGCAGCGCCTGCGATCAGTTGAGGCTGTGCTTTCCCCTCCCCTCTCTCGGCTTCTGAGGATGCCTTTGTGAAATAGCTAGTCTTTGTTTCCATGGCATGGATGTCTGTAGGTTTCCTTCATAATTCTAGGTTTGTGGGTGCTCTGAGCTCTTCCTAGGACATCCTGCCTGCTCCTTTATGTCCTCCCTACCCAAGGGTGGAAGCCTGTAGCAACCCATGGCCGCCAATGTAGTGAGAATTCTTCTGACTGATGACTCCTAGGACCTATTTATTAACTGGATAGGAGCGCTGAAAAGCTTTTGCAAAAAGAAAGCTTATTTTAATATGAGAACGATTAGCAAGTCTGTCATTGTTGGTTTTCGGGTTAGGGTGGAACCTAGAAATAACTCATTTTAAAAAAAATCATTTTATTGGGGGCTTGTACAATTCTTATCACAATCCATACATACATCCATTGTGACCAGCACATATGTACATTTGTTGCCCTATCATTCTCAAAACATTTGCCTTCTACTTTAGCCCTTAATATCGGCTGCTAATTTTCCCCTTCGCTGCCCCCTGCCTCCTCCCTCATGAACCCTTCATAATTCATAAATTATTATTGTGTTGTCATATGTTACACTGTCCGACGTCTCCCCCCACCCTCTTCTCTGCTGTCCATCCCCCAGGGAGGAGGCTAAATGTAGATTCTTGTAATCGGTTCCCCCTTACTACACCACATCCCCTCTACCCTCCAGGCATCGCCCCTCTTCCCACTGGTCCTGAAGGAGTCATCTGTCCTGGATTCCCTGTGTTTCCAGTTGCTATCTGTACCAGTGTACATCCTCTGGTCTAGCCAGATTTGTAA